TAACAGTATTTTCAACAAAAATCTAGCACCAAAGGTTAACAATAAAATGTGTCAGAAACAGTGTTCAGGTGCCTCTGAAGTAAACAGAACATCAGTAGAAACCAATCATGCATACCAATGTATGTGTCTGTGAAATCAGTAGGCTTCAATATCACACGAGACAAGAAAGATATACTACGACATTGTTAACATATTCAGCACTGAATTCACCAAACTGGCTTATATGGAAAAAAAAATGCGAAAGCTTACAGGATAATGAACTGTGCAGAAACGACATGGCTGCTTAGTAATGACACGGTTTTTATCTCTTCTGCATCGGTCTACCTCAAATGAACTAAAAAAAAAAGAACAAAATTGGTTTACTTTTTTTTTATAACTTCACAAGTAAAAACCAGCATGCAAAAGGATACATTGAAATAACAGGATGAGTATTTTCTAATGTGCAGTGAAGCCGTTAAGAAAGTCTCATTAGGAAACTTGCGGAGTTAAGTCCATAGGATTAGAAGGCGTGTAACGGAACTGCTAAGCCACAGATCGAATTTCAATTAAATACATACATACACAGAATAAAATCCAGAATTTGTGCATATATTAATTTATATCAATGTTAATGACAGAATCATTGTATATCTTACTTGGTAAAACAAAAACTTCAATGGCAACGTCCGAGTCTCTTGTATGTGTGAATGCATCTGTGTCTGCTTACAAACGAGAACTTGCTCAACTGCTTTGATAGCTTGTTGTTAGATTGTAATTATGCTCTTCTTTCCAGTTGTCTCCAATTAAGTTCCAAGATTTCTTCAACCTGAAACACTATACTGGGGGTGGAGCAGGATCCCTAGGGTGGTGTGTCAGTGTAATTAGCACCCGACATCCCCAAATAACATGTACTGTATTTGTTGTACAGTATTGTGGAAATGTTGATGCCAAACAAATTTAATCACATCATAAAAATAATTGGAAAAAAAAAAATGTTAAGATGGTATAAGAATACCATTTCTGGGCACTGAGAGATAGATCCAGATTAATTGTTGATTGGTTTTTTGATGACTTGCGTGGGTCTTTTAAAGTTATACCCAAATTTGTTTTTCTGTATTCTAGATTTTACGAGTGGTGTATCTTTAAAGTACTGTACATTACAAAGACAAAGTCGTTCCAAATAATAAAGAATTGCTATCTATACATCTGTACCCTTAAGTCTTTTCCAGGCAAATATTATTGTAATAATCTATAAATCATTAAAAATGATTTATATATGACTTTGAAATTTGATAACTTAAACCCAAAAATTCAAGGTTATATTTGAAATTGTTGAAGGTTTTTCATTCTAGATTCCACGGGTGGCGTATCTTTAAGGTACTGTGCATTACAAAGACGAAGCATTGCAAGTAATAAAGAATTGTTAAGACAACTGCCGGAGGACTTAATTTCGTTTAACTAATAGCCAAACGAAAATTAAGTTTGCTAGGCTCATATTAAGGGGATTCTAGTTGGAATTTGATGTGTATTACTCTTGAAGGGAAAATTGCAGGGATATGCACAGAACACACAAAATAACATTCAAAACATGAACTAAAAATATCTTATAAAAAAAAAATGCAAAAACTAAATTAATTTATACCTACAGTAAAATAAATTTCTTGCTCTAGAAAACAAAGACACCTTGAGATAAAATGAGATAATTGAAATATAGATTAGAAAATTTTAAATCATTCAACAAATAAATTTAATATCTAATATAAAATAAGGCACTTAAAAAAAGGGGCGAAAAATCTTGCTTAGAATTATAAAAGCAATAGAGAGTAGAAATAAAACTTTAAAAAATGTAAATCAATCACCAATTGGATTTAATATCTAACAGTAGGTGCTCAAAAAATAAGGGGGTGGGGGAATGGCAGAAGTCTTGCTTAGAAGAATTATGAGAGCAATAGATGATAGAATTAAGCTTAAAAAAATATAAATTAATCAAGAAATAGATTTAATATCTAAAATATAATGCACTCCAAAATCTTAATTTCTTTTATGACTTCTTCCTTCACTCGCCATTCAATATTTATATACACACACACACTATATTTGTGATTTTTAGCACAAGTATTATTAGCTTAATGCAATGTTGTCAGATTGTGTTCCCTTGCCGTTCGCAGGCATGAAAACCAGGGCACTTTAACAGTTTCACATCGATGTTACAATCCCTTGGCACGCAACAGTAAATTGGAACATGGCCACACGCTAAAACCGTCCAATCCCTCATCCACGAAAACCGGTGTACATTTCTCGAAATCAAGAAGTATACTCGGAGATTCATAGCTCTAAGAATCGAAAGTCAGTATGTCAAGACAATAACATGCGGAAAAACGATGACTGTTCGTCCTGTGGAAAATTGTATCCAGCGTAAAGGTTACCAATGTAGCCTACACATCGCAACCTTGCGTGTCGTCTTTGATGAAGGTTGGCGGAGCGCTACGAGGTAGGCTCAAAAACTGGTCGGCACTTCTAACGCATGCAGTAATTACATTGTAATGTTAGCTGCAGGATAGATAGCCATAACGACTTCTATACATATCGACATTAAAAAACAGGTGGGAAAGAAACCTGAACTGATCACGGTAACAATAATACTGTCCATAAAAACAAAACATAAAATACTCATCTTCATTAAACTGACCTTCGACATATAATTTTAAACCTCATCGTCAAAGTAGCGGAATGAAATAGAGATCAATTTCGTAGAAAGACAAAACTTATTAGGGAAAAAACTAATATTGAATTATTTTATACAGCTATGCTTGTCCTTAAACCAAAGCACAATATTCCTTCATTCATTATTGATGTCAAGAATAATTTTCTTCAATTAGCGGTTAAGCTAACAAAAGATAAATTTACAATTTTTTTTTTTCGAGTTCCCACATCATACAACCTGGATCAAATACAATGTTTAATAAGCCGATTGTATGGCTTGTTTTTGAAGATTTAATAAAAAAACCATTAATAAAAATTATTCACATTACAGTAATACCTCAGTCACTGAATAAAAGAACTATGTAAAGTTTTTTCAATATTATCAAAAAACTGTTGTATAAAATAAAATAAAATAAAAAAAATATATAAAAAAAAATAAATAAAAAAAAATAAATAAATAAAATATGACAGTCTGGACATATCTCAAGACATATTATTCTAGGATATATTTTCTGGGGGGAGGGGGGAGCTATCTAACTGGGGGGCTTGAGCTTGTATGTCCGAGCTGGAGGAAGGAGTTGATAGGTGTTCCCAGCTCCCTTGGGAGCCCCCAACTGAGATTTTTTTTAAAGAACAACCCCTGGATGACTGGAAATAGGACTCTAAGACTGTGACAGACATGTGTTGGCATGGTGTGGGCCTATGTTAATTTGTTTTATGGTCCAACTGCCTGATGAGTTTTGTCCGACGGGGGACTTAAGCAACCCCCCCCCCCCCCACTGCTGGCGCCGCCACTGCACATGCATGGTAGCCATTCTACCAATCAAAATATATCTGATGACTGATGAATGATTGATAAAAAAGCAGTTACAGTAATTATTTATGAATTTACTATTTCAAAGCTAGAAATCTTCAACATAAAATTAAATAAAAAGAATGCAATATCAAATATCATGTTTATCAAATACAACATAATTTAATTTAAATTGGGAAAAACATTAAGGTACAATGTTTAATCCTTCACATATTTCTTGAATGTATGCTTCCATTTAAGCTCTGTGAACACATTTTCATTGACCAAACTGTTGTATGCCCATATATAGTCATGATGTGGCTATATATGGTCATGATGTGATGTCATTATGACCATATTTAGGCATGTCACATGTTTTTGTCAAATAAACTTTGATAGTCTGGACAGGGCTTTATTTAGAGACAAATTGTTCCTGAATAAAAGTATTTCTTCAAACAAAATTACTCCAATAACAGACTAAGATGACGAAAGCAAAAAACACCCCACCAAGTTAAATAGCGCCCTCAAACCACTACCTCTAAATAGCATTGTTTGATTATAAGTTACTGCCACTTTAGTCACTTCTAAGGCCCTGTCCATACTATCAAATTTTCTTAGACAAAAACATGCAACATGACTAAATATGGTCATGATGACATCACATCATGACCATATATAGGGACATCATGCCTATATATGGGCATAGAACAGTTTTTTGTCAAAGAAAATTTGATCATCTGGACAGAGCTTCAAGGTTAACAACAAAGAACTGATAAACACAAGATAGCGTGCTCTGCAATTTCTGCGTGCAAATTCTGTAATAACGCAGCGTATGGCGTCCTCTTGAAAAAGTGATTACTTTTCAACTTTGACCGCTCTGACCATAGCGTACACGGTGCTACTTTACGCGCAACAATTAGAAGCACTGATTTACAATGCACACTCTCTTTAAAACAAAAAAGGAACAAAAATGTACTTGGTAACAGACTTTGGTGTTACACAAATACCTTCCATGGCAGCAACTAGGGCGCCCTCTCCCAAAAGTGATTACTTTTCTGCCAAATTGACGCTTCTATTTTTGTTGCACGTAAATCGCGAGAATGCGAGAATCTTGTGTTTATAAGACCTTTGGTTAACAACTACAAGAGGTCCTAAAGGAATTGTAAGATTTCGTGGCTTTCAAATTTTTAGGAATTACTGAAACATGCAGCCTTCAAGTTTTATTTGGAGATGTTGATGATTTGCTTCGAAAAGCCAATGCATCATAAACGTCCCTACGGATCAGGTACTGGTCTACTCTATGTGCTTGTTAATATTTTTTTATTTTATGTTAAAACTTCATCATAAAATTGTATGATGTGCTATTCATAATCATATTATTTGCTGGCCTTGTTTTAAAAAAGAAAAAAATGCGAATACATCAAGTTATATTATGGAACACATCTTGCGATCAACATATGTGGTTTCTGTGTCTAGCATTTTAGATTTCATCTTTTAATTTAAAATAACATACTACAACCAATTATACTGTTGATAACGTTATACATTGCCTTTATTATTCATTTAAATATGAGAATCAACTAATGGTAATTTTCTGTAATTCACACTCCATTTTGAATTATTAACAATCATGAGAGAGTTACCGTGTTTTAGTCCACGCTGCTTTCAGTTACAATAGGCAAGTATATATGCAGATTTTAAGAAGCCTATTTTTGATCAATGATGACAAATGTGAAACATAATGCAGATAATCAACATGTGACTTTATATATGCACTATTTATGTACCCAGATGTGTCACATTTAACAAAGTGTGATATGGTATGTAGTGTTTTTCTTAAGGTTTAGTTAGTTATAATATATATTATAATAAATTATTTATTCTTTAAGTTCTGTCTTCTTTCTTTGTGTCGTTCTCCTCTTCTGTAATATCCTCTGCAACCTTTTTAGTAACTGTATCATGTATTTCATTTTCTGTATCTGTGGTGTCTGGATTTTTATGGTTCAAGATGTAACGAATACCATTCACAATGCCGGTGGCATCATCAACGGCAATTTTCTTGCCTGTTAAAAATAAAGGAAAAAAAAAACATAAAAAAATGATATGAAATATTTCACCAAAAAAACAGATGGTTGATCATAAAATTGAAAAGATTGGTAATCGGAGTAGGCAAGGAACGTTAAACACATAAACAAAACAAAAAACAAAAAAACTAGATGATAACGCTGTGATGTAACTGATGTCGCTTTTCATCTTCCTTTACTCCTTCACTTACCACCCCACTTTTTTTATTACGCCTCTTCTAAACCCACTCCCTTGACGCCCTTCCTTTTCCCTCCTCATAAATATTTACTCTATCCACTGAAGCAATGAATATTTTAGGGGATTATTATTTTGCATAAGGCTGCACGCTTTTGTTTAAAATCAAATCACCACCAAGTTATAGGATATACAGTACGGTACAAATATAGGATGTAAAATTCAACATGCGTTCTTCTACTACTCGTTTACATTTCTTCACGCCATAAAATACGAGAAAAATAAACCCCCATAAAATCCCTTCTTTCTGGAGTGATTGACCAACAAATATACACCCAAAAATGATAGCCTTCAATAATAATGGTCAGACAAGCCTCTTTGATTCATGAACAAGCAAGTCCACCTATAGTATACCTAGATGGACAAGCTTGTATAATGAGCAGGCAAGCTGGCCTACCTATTAATGGGCGGGCTAGCCTACCTCATGTTCGTCCAAAGACTCTATTGGCTAACCTCTCCAGAAATCCAGGTTTTCTCTCAACCTCCTCATCTTCATCCACATAACTATCTTCAGACTGAGAATTATTGCCTGTAAAGATATTCGCATTTTTACTCTATCTAAATTTGTGTGGGCGTTTCTACAATAAAGAGGTGAGAGGGTGGGGCTTGTATTCTTGTTTTACAGTTAAAATACATTTATTTTATTTATTTAATTATTTCTTTTTTACAGGAGTAACCTGATCAGTGAAAAGGCATTTGTTATCCTCCAGAACCTCGGAAACATATCATAAAATACAATAAAATAAAAAAAATGAGGAATGACAATAAAGGCAATAGAAATTTTAAATGGAATAAATTTAACAATACTCTAAATGAAAAAAAATAATAGCAAGCTTAATAAGACAGCCCACATTACATTAATTACTTTAAATATGGAAAAAATTTTAGGCATTATTTTTTCCAATGTGAACACAGGTGAAGTCTGATGAGGTAACATATAGCTTTCAATCAATATATCAATCATTCGAAATAACTTCTATGGCGCCAAATTCCATCACATGAAGTAATTTTGGCGCCGAATGATGATGGTATAATTTTCAGAGAGATGAGATAAACAATTTCTTCGATCAGATACTGTACATGTCTGAAACAAGCATAAGGCTCTGTCCACACTATCAAACCCATAGTCATGATGTGCCTCTATTTGGTCATGATGTGATGTCATCATGACCATATTTAGGCATATCACATGTTTTTTTCAAATAAAATGCATGGACATTCTTAAGTCTGATTAACAACTGTATGTTAACAGATAAAAGTATGTATTTTGATTCGCTATAATGTAATTTCCTTATTCCCACCCCTCCCCCCTCCTTTCTTTTTCTTGTGTGATGTTTGTGTGTATTGCTGAATTTGGGGTTGGCTCAACCAGCTTATGCTAAAGTGATTTGGTTCACTTTAGTTGACCATGGTCTCCCCAAGTTTCAATTTTTTTTTTGGTCACTATTTTTTGTACATCATGTTGTTAAAAGACCAAATAAATAATGAAATGAAATAAGTGTACAGTATGGCCAACTTTACAATTCCCAAAACCAATTTTTTTTTCCTAATAGTAATTTAATTTACTGTAGACTGGGTGTTGGAAGCAGAAATGAATAAAAGTTTGCATTCAGAAACACTGGAGTATTTACATGTGGTTGTTTTATGATTAAAGGAATCAAATGAATCATACATTTAACAACCATTCAGACCATTCAGATTCTCTTCAAACAGAGTTAATACTCCATAATTCTCTTCTTGTAAAAACACCATTAATCCCTTCTTGTTAAATTTCATGACAGCAAAAACAGAGTTAGCACTCTTACGAGTAAAATTTGACATAATTAATTGCACGAGAGAAGCAGATAAACAAACTGTCACTTGATACACACTTATATATATTTCGACAGTTTATATCACACCCCTGATAAAGCTGACATCAAATATCTGCGAAACCTTCGGCAATAAATTACATTGAAAGCCTAGAATGTAACTACAGAATTAACATTTACAACTACAACTTTTATTGATATATTTTATCTGTTATTTGTTAATGTTCCTTGCTGTTTTCTCTTTGTCCATTATCCTGATATATTCATTACTTCTTCCATGGAAGTTATCTTTCCACCACTGTTTGTTAGCAAATTTATGGAAAAACTAAAGAATGGATCACCATAAAAATTAGTGGAGCGCTACATGTTGGCTTACGGAATAGGCAATTAAATTTTGGGGTTAGAAGTTTAATGGGATAAAAAGGGGATTGGAACGCCATCCAATTAGACCTTGCATGAATAATGAATAGGGTTGAATTCTGGGGCCCAAAATCTACTTTAAATGATTAAAATTACCTAAATTTTACTCACCATCTTGTGTTTTGCTAATTCCATTTACCGTTCCAACTACATCCTCTTCCTCCTCCGCAAATGACAGCAAAAGTCCCTTCTGTTTATCTGTAAGTTTCCTGAAATAAATGAAAATGCAACATTTTGTTATTAATATATTACAAATACCTATTAAATCCAGACATTAATACAATATTTTACATTTATTTTACTAGGAGGAAGATATAGATTTCTTATTAGGAGATATCATGGCAGCATTTGGAGTTAATAACAATTTTTTTTTTTCTTAAAATTTTAATTTTTACACAGTGGAGCATGTGCCACTTGGCAAAAAATTAAATTTTCATTTCCAGCCGGTAAAACATGGTATAAATCAAATCTCACCTCATCTAAAACCTACAATTACTAGCACATCGATAAACCTGCATTTCTTTCTAATGATATTTCTAAATATATTATTAATATATGCCACTATACAGTAGTTATTAGTTTTAATGGGTAGCATTAGGAATATTCAATTTAATAACGTAATAGCCACTTAAGAAGTGTGGTCGTTTCAACTTCCAAATAAATGAAATTAATTTAGCAAAGAAAAAGAATACGGAAAGCACTTACGATAATGGCATAATTTAAAGGATATTTGCTTAAGTAATGAATTTAACAAACGAATCAAATTTTTAAAAGATGGAATTGCTAATGACCCTGTTATAAGGTGACTTGTCAATCACATTTTTTAAAACATGTGACATGCCTAAATATGGTCATAATGACATCACACCATGACCATATATAGGTGCATCATGACTATATATGGGCATACAACAGTTATTTTCATTTCTGGTGGGCAAAACATGGAGAGGAAACATTCCATCTTGTAACTACTTCCCTTCATTAAAGTTTTGTCCAGATTATCAATTTTTTTTTTTTAAACTACTGTACTGTTGTATGCCCATATACAGTATCATGATGTGATGTCATCATGACCATATTTAGTCATGTCACATGTTTCTGCCAAATAAAATATGATAGTGTGAATAGGACTTTTCTAAATGTTTTTCAAAATTATAATGAGTAATATAAAGTCAAAGATTTAAACAAGAAGACAACAAAACACAGATGACAAAAGAATTAAATTTTTGTAAAATATTATATACACTGTATATTTTTTAAATCGATATTTTTAAACTGTGGCCTTTTTTGACCAGGTTATATCAAGTCTCAATTTTAATTGTTAATTTCAATTTATTCAGTATTTGATTTGGTAACAGAATAGGCAGCTGAATTACATCAAATTTACAATTTAAAAATTCTTACACTAAAACCAATACAATTCAAAACACACTAAATAAACTTTTGATTAAAATTATCAGGTACGAAATAATTACTGTAATAATATTGAAATATAATAAACAAAGTTACAAATGAAGAAACTAGTAAAAAGAAAAACATTAAAATTGGGGGAAAATAAATTTAAAATGTATGCGAGGACAAAAAAAATCCAGAAAAGACAAAAAACATTTAAAAATACTGCACAACAGATTAAGCAAATTGAGAATATTATTTTGCAAATTGATAATAATAGAACATTAAACAGGAATTTTTCTAAATTGATAATTATATAACATTAAACATTACTAACAAGTTAAATATAATTAATTTATTGCACACTGTCTGTGTCATGTGTTAAACATTCTACATTGTATAAAAATAAATAAGGCAATATAAAATAATATTATCCAGCTATCTTACCACCTATCAAAAAATCTTGCATATCCACCTATCTACTTAATAATCCATTTCTCTAAATAATTGATATATCCTTCTTCTTTCCAGTTTTCATTTTTCTACAGGGCTAAGAAGTCATTAATCAATAGAATTAATAAATTTATAATTAATCAATTTTACAATCTCTCTTGCTGCTGCAAAAAGATAACTTCCATGAATACCAATTCTCCTAACCGACAGATCTATCATTCGTATGATTCATTGCGGCAAATGTTTTGACCTTTGGCATCATTATGCGTATCGTGAAAGATCTATGTCTCAGCTAACTAGTCTCCTTGCTAACTATGCCTCTTCCCTGCTATTAAATCCTGGTTTAAAGTAACCAGACTGTTAACAAAATAATGAAAGAATATCTGAATGTGTTTTATAAACACCCTAGTTCTGTGGAAAGGGCAGTGATAGTTGACGCCGAGTTGAGAAAGAAAATAATGTACTCACGTTGGAACTTTGATCTTAATATGCACATAGTGGTCGCCATTGCCGTAGCCGTTCATGCGTTGAATGCCTTTGCCAGGCAGTCGTATACGTGTGTGTGACTGCGTGCCAGCGGGTATCTGTTGACAGACGATGCATGCGTTTTTTTTTAATTTTACTAGAATTTCCGATTAATATGAAATGATTTAGTTTTACAAAAAACTAAACCCACAGACAGCAGCTTGGTGGATCCTGGAATTCAAAATAGAGAGGGGCTGGGAAGAGGGCCTAAGAAGAGGGGCTGGGAAGAGGGTCTAGGAAGAGGGCCTGGGAAAAGGGCCTTGGAAGAGGGCCTGGGAAGAACATTCAGAGATAGAGAGTGTACACCCCCTCAGCCCACCATTGTTTTTATAAATTTAAATATAAATTTCTTTTTTTTCTCCATTTTGTTTTTATAAATTTGAAAAATTTAGGGAGGACCTGGCTGGCTAGGGTCCCCTTTTAAACCGCCAATTAGACAGGGAGCTAAAATCACATGACTATCAATCCAAAATTCTATGCATTTATTTAGTAACTTTCTTGCCTCCTTTGATTTAGTTTTTTTTATTGCAGTTTTATACTTCAATTTTTATAGTCATTAGTTGAATGCCTAAAAACTAGGATAAAAGGCAAGGACTGTGATTATGTTAATTCTGTATCATAACTTGGATTATCAAATGATCTTAGTGATGAATTGGATGTAAATAAACAAGTTTGGTCATTGTGCATCCTAAGTTACAGCTCAAATGTCCGTAGAAATCTGCACGTCCTTCAACGAGTTGTATGTTTTAATGACAACAGTGGATTCCTACTTTTTGTATCTACCAGGCATGGTTTTTAGATTTTTATCAGCCTACTTATTTTAAACATGCCGAATGGAAAACATGAAAGATAGCAAGACATTTGTGATGAATGATTTTATAAAAATGTGAGGTGGGGAGGGGGGAGATGTTTGATTTACCTTTTCAGCACTAATATTCATCAAACATGAAGTCATATAATGTATATCTAGTTTTTGAATTTGTATATTCAAAATCTCAGTGTAAAGGATAACTCATGAAAGTCTGAAGAACACTTATTTCCAGTGGGGTTCTTCCGGTGGTGATTGGTAGTATACCTGTGGACAATCCCCTCCTCTTTCCGAATAGTGTACTGCGTTCTTTAACGTGCCCATGGGTCATAAGGCACATGGGACCAACGGCTTAAAAGTCTCTTCCTCAAGACGGAGCGCTATCATAACTTGCATTCAGCCCTCCAGCTGAAATACAAGAACAGTGATGGGAATAGAACCGGGGACCAAAGAGATCTCCACGGTTAAGTGGCCAGTGGCTACCACCAGTTTAGCCAACTGAGCTAAATTGCTCTCTGTTTATCGTTCTCTTCTTTCAAAAGTTAGTCTCTCATCCATTAACAAGTCCTCTGAGAGCATGGTAACTATTACACCAGTCAAGGTGTTGTAGTGCAGGTACACTTTTTGTAAATAATAGTCTACCTTCATTTGAAGAGTACATTGTCTTTAGTTACTCCTAAAAGATCATAATCCTTACTATAATTACCATCACCCTTATCATCACGCTTGCCATCATTATCATGCTTGTTATCATCATCACGCTTATCATAATCATTACCACTATTTTCAACATCACCCTTATTCTTATCATAATCATAATAATTATCCATAACATTCTTAAAATCATCATTTATACCATCATTCTTAACATCATCATTACTATTTTCCTCCTCCTCTTCATATTACAAAAATGCAACAAGCAATTGATATAATCATCAAACAACTTGACCTACATTTAAATGGATACTATCATATAGTCCTTTGACCCGAAGACTGCCCCCTAGAGCTGCTTGTGTGTATGTTACTGAGACGTCTGAATGCACATCGGCACCATCTCTCCTAAATGTATTGCTACGAGCAACACGAAACGTAATAAAGATTTCACGACTTCCTACGGGTAACCGGACTGTCTGTCCATTCTCAACACCTGAAAATAAAAAAAAGTTAATTTAATCTAATGGAATCTATTTGTAAATTATAGCTGTTTATTAGCTGTGGATTAAAGCTTTGTCAACATTAGAAATTTTATGTGACTGAAAAATGTGATTTATATATAGGCATGATGTCATAATACACCCAAATATGGGCATATCACATTTATTTGTCACATAAAATTTGATATTATGGAGATTTTTGGACAAAAATCGAAGTTTACAGTCACTACAGGAGCAAAAATTGTGAAAGTTTAACACAATGGAGTTTGTGGGTACACTTCCCCGCCTGTACTTCTATCGCCTCAGCCACCTTGCCCATTCTGAATTCTATCAAGCACCCTGTCACCATTTGAATGCTAAAGAGTAAAGATCTTATAAACACAAGATAGCGTTCTCCGCGATTTCTGCGTGCAAATTCTGTAATAACGAAATATACGGCGCCCTCTTGCAAAAGTGAAAATTTTTGAACTGAAGCGTCCGATTTACATTGTGCCCTCTCTTTAGAATAATTAACGTACTTGGTAACAAACTTTGGCGTAACACGAACACCCTATCTCAGATCCACGGCAACGACTAGGACGCCCTCTTCCAAAAGTGATTACTTTTCTGTGCCAAATCAACGCTTCTATTTGTTCCACGTAAATCGCGGAGAACGCCATCTTGTGTTTATAAGATCTTTGCTAAAGAGGTGCAGCAGGCCTCTGACAGTGCCCTTAGTTAGCTACTAAATGATGCAATGTAGTTGGAGTTATATAACGCTTTACACCGGAACGGTCTCAGGCACTTACAGTAACTTGCTTCTCCCCTAAGGTTTTCTTTGTGTCTGAGCTACACGGTAAACGGATACCAGCTACTCTTGCCTGTCCACAGCAGGGGCTGAATGAACCACTACACCAGTGTAACCTCGTGATCGTCTCGAAAGATGTACTGGGTGCTTTAAAGTGCACATGAGCCAAATTATGGTCAATGGGCCTACGGTTTATATTCGTTATCCGAGAAGCGTGTTGTTCGAACTAGCGCCGATATTATAGATGTACGTTGCGGTGCTCCTGCCTTAGCCGCTCGGTTATCCAACTCGCCAAGTTGGGACCAATGTTATGATAATACTTTTTTCTGTTTGCCTGAGATATCATGAACTGAGCAAATTTTGGAAATATGCAACCAATTTAAAACGAAAGGCCATAAACAAAGCAGTACATTGCACTGCATTAAACATATGTGTTACGAATAAAAAAAACTAACTATTTGATTTGCACTTTTGGGGTTGGGAGTTGTAGAAAAAGGCTGGAAATAATCTGGTCATAATTTTGACGAACCTGCTGGAACGGGAACAACTACTTTCTTCTTTTGCATCGTCTGCCCCGAGCCTTTACACAAGATACATGGGACATTAATGATTGTGCCTTGACCTCGACACTGCCGACATGTTGATCTCATCATGAAGGGACCAGTGTTAATTGTTTCCTGGATATGAGAAGGAAAATTCATTTAATATGCAATTACTCATCACAAATAAACCCTATGTACCCCATTTAATCTTCAAAAATCATAAATAATGCTAGAATATGATTTAGTTGGAAGGAGAGCACTGTGGTTGTGGCTCTCAATTTTTGAGTCTGGGTTTCAAATCAAATGCAGTCTATCTCACGTTTATATATTTAATATTTATCTTTATTTATATTTAACTCTCCATAACCAAAGGTATGTGGGTAGCAAGTAGGACATTGTGGCTTTGAATGTACTGGTCTGCACTATGCCTAGGGATACCGATTCATATTGTAAAGGAAAATGGACGTACCATGCCTGTGCCTTGACATCTGTGGCACCGTGTTGTCTTTGTACCCGGTTCCGCCCTTGCTCCATTACACCGCTCGCATACATCATCAATTTTAATCTCAATCTCTTTGTTGACACCGCGGGCTGACTCGCTAAATGTTAGATCCATCATATACTAAGGTAGTCAAAACAAAAATGTGAGGTGAATACAAATAAACTGTAATTGATCATTTTATGATTTTTTTCCCTTGATGTTTCTTTCTGTTTTCAATTTGTTGTTTTGTATTTTTTGTATTTGCATTCTTGTTTAATAACCCTCCTTTTATTGGCGAATTTATTTTGCTGTTGGTTGTGGTTTTAAAGAAATAAATAAAAAATAAATAAATAAATAAATTGCTCCATATGCTACATCTCCTAATATTTCAAGTATTTGCTGGGGTAAATGGAGATCATACATTATAAATAGTACTAAATCATTACATCATGCATCTAGACAACTGGACTATACAACTTATTAAAATGGACAAGGCATGGGTTGTTGTTATAGTAGAGTCTTTAATAGCCTAGGGTTTAACATGCAATAAGGGCTACAGATATATTTAATTGATTTTGTTTCCGTGCCCAGTTTAGGATCCATTTTTGTGAAGATGTATATGTTTTATTATTATAATTAATATCATCTTTTTTTAATGATTCTTTTACTTTAGCTACTGGCAATTCCTCAGCCATATGCTAAAGTAATAAATCAAATATTCTTACATCCAGAGGCTTATCTAGGGGTGCGCACAACCCTACCCATAAAAAAAGCTCATTCTCCCCTCCACCCCCATTTAAAAAATTGAAGCAAAAAAATCCTGCCAAAGTAGATAAAATTACCTCATTTTGCCGCATACTCCCATTACTTAATTATCAAACCCCCAGCCCCACCTTTGTGTCCCCCTCATCCCCCACATTTCAAGACTCTAAGAAACACTATTGCTTACCTCCCTCGTATTATCTATGCCCCCAAACCCTGCTCCCTCAAAGATGTTACTAAAGCCACCTTTCCCACCGAAGACGGTACGGAATAATTCTTCTGGATCAATGTTTGTACCGTGCATTCCCTGGAAACCGCCACCACCTCCAAATCCTGTTGTTCCCATTGTGTCATACTCCTGCCTTTTTGTTTTATCACCCAAAACCTGAAAATAAAAAAAAAAGTGTGATCCAATAAAAGTTAAATTAATGGACTTACTGGGTTGTATATTACATTATAAGAAAGGGTAGGTTACTAAATATTCAATAGCTTAGGAAGTGATAGATACAGTACATATTAAAGTATTATAAATATTATTATTATAATAATAATATGCTGTTTAGATTGACATCTAAACAGCATATTCTCCAATCTGAATTTGAACCTGCATTTCTTTACTTGGTAAACAAGGTAATAAAATTTCACAAAAACATACATACATTTTGATTAAAGGATACATATAATAGTCTTAATTGCACAATGGAACAGACCTTGATTACAAGGAATACCAAGAAAAGTTACCTTATTTCCACTTGGGACCTGTAACACAATGAACCACACAATTGTGCAAAGTAAAAACAACAAAAAAAAACCCTACCCTAGGAAACTTCCAGAAAATTGTTAAATGGGTAAATGCGTGTTACTATTTACACTTGTCATACCTCATATGCCTCCGCGGCCTCTGCGAACTTTGTGGCGGCGGTCTGGTCTCCTTTATTTTTATCAGGATGATACTTTTTGGCAAGCTGAAACAAAATTGAATTCAACAGATTAGAATTTAAAGAGCTCTTTAGATATTTTGAATCTGATTGGTCATTTAATGACATCAATTACTTTTATCTAATGGTAGAGGTCAGATATAACAATTTAATTTCTATAATGGGTTAATCATGTGACCTTGTTTCAATCTTAATTAATTAAAGTTGAATATTTTTTCGCATCCAAAAGCAAGTACACTCGTCACTTACAGGATGTTTTCAAAACCAAATCTCTTATTTAAGCCTAGGGTATGGAGGTTGTTTTTAGTCGTGAGAAAAAGTCCTGCTGTGACAGGAATTGAACCCAGGACCCTGGGATTAGGAGGCAAGCAACTTCACCTCTAAGCTTTTCAATTCAACTATCGTCTATTGTTATATTTTGGCCTTCATTTAACAACAAAACGCAATCTAAAGCTCTGTCCAGATTGTACGCCCATATATAGTCATGATGTGCCTACATATGGTCATCATGTGATGTCATCATGACCACATTTAGGCATGTTACATGTTTTTATAAAATTAAATTTGATAGCCTGGACAAGACTTAAAACTATGATGATACGTACCTCATAATACGCTTTTTTTATTTCTTTTGTAGAAGCATTTCTTGGAACTCCAAGGATCTTGTAAAAATCTTTAGATTCTAAATGTCTTGAAGTGTGAAAACTCCTCTGTCCCCATATATCCAAACAGAACGAACTGATTGGTGCTAAAATGAAATAAATTTTGTTTGAATATAGTAAAAAGATAAGATGGTACAATTACAGCAACTTCTAGCATGGACAATTTGTTGTAATTATTTATTTATTTTAAATTTAAAGCAAACTCACTAAGTTTTGTATCATATAAAAAGTGTTTATATTTGCAATCCAACAACATTTTTTTACTTGTCATTGATATTTATATGAGAAAACGAAGTTTGCATAACCATGCAAAAATAAAAAAACCAATTTAGAAAATTATGATACTGGTAATAATTATCATACTGTTATGATGATCATAATAAACAATATAATAATAAAACATATAATCAACATTGTAATAATCACAATTATCAACTTACCAATCGTAATAATCATTAAAATTTGAATTCACTAATAATCATAGAAATCATAAAACACAATTGAATAATAATATTGCTAGTAATATTAATAATAATCATAACACAGAAATTATATATAGATCATTATAATCATCTTAATAAACATATAAATCAAATAATAATCATAATCTACCTTAAAATAATATCAGTAAATATAGACAAAAATATCATAGAAACCATGTAATCATCATAACATTGTAATTAATCAATAATTCTAATTAATCACAAGAACAATAATAATCATAATAATATTAATATTCATAATCACAATAATAATAAACATAACAATAATCATATTAACAATCATATATATTAATTATACTAATTAAAATTTCCTTGAACTTATCTTGAATCAAGATTTCTTATTACTCAGCCAAGCCAGGGATGTACGTTGAAACGATGATCCGCATTGCCGGGGAGGTAGCCGGGACTTTCACATGCATGTTTTGGAAATTACATCACCGGATAAGTCCCCGCTAGGCCCGGGTCCAGGGGGCCAGGACTACAAATTGACAAGTGCATAATAAAGGGCCAACTTCCGCACAGATTTCTTTTTACTGTAAAGCTTAGTTAGGCCTAGTTAGAACTTTACTAGGCCTATATTAAGCCCCAAGCCAAGAAATATATCAAGGACACGCCTACCTAGGCCTAGTAGGAATACTGCAGGATAGCTACTAGATAGGCCTAGGGTTATCCAGGCTCTATTGGCCTAGCGTAGTTAGGCCCAACTACTGTAGGCCTAAACTAATAAAGGCAGCAAGGTAATGCTAAAACTTAAAGAAGGCCCAGGTTCAGTTGCATTTTTTGCACACTTACTCAGTACTACAATTCTTTGATTTATTGCAACATTGTGAACACGATTTATTAAAATTCTATTAGCATAAACAGGAGATGTTTTTAAATAACGTTTGCAGAAAATCTGAGAGAATTCATCGGCTGAAAGTATACATTTTGATTGAGAAAGTTGCTGCAAACTACGCAACGAAAACCGCGTGGCTGCCATTTTCAGAGGTCAACCCTGCTTCTTAAACAGCGCCCCTTGTCGTCGAACTTTGACATAGCAAACAACTTGGGCATTGGAGTGTTCTGTAACAGGTATCAGGTATAGGAGGTTTTTAATTTAATAATTTATTAGCAATATCCGACATTATATAGTTTGTAAATGTATAGACTAATCCAAGCTATATATAGCATCAATATGTACGTTTTACGAGAACTTTCAAGTTAAAGGAGTTATTTTTTTATTTGAAAAAGCTAGGCCTAGCCTAGCTAGCGAATGACGATGCTTTGCTTCTCAAAATCGTCATCAACTAACAACAACGACTGTGTGCCCAGTTTGTGTAAGCTGGCGTTAGTGAGCATGGGGCTGGGCCTGGCTGTACTACAATGTTTGCCTGAACGAACGGCTCGATCTGTTGCTTTAAAGGGTGTTACTGTATCGTACTTAGCATGACAGCATACGATGTAATGTACCGTGCCGTGACCTACCCCCATAAATACATAATTCTTGTTTTTATTGCATATGCCTAGTAGGCTAAGCCTAAAAAAGTAGGGCCCTAGTATAGGCCTAAATTAAAACCAAATGGTTGAAATGTAGGCCCTAGGCCCTATGACTAAAACAAGTGAATTTGAAATTAATCTTCAATTAAAATATAATAGTGTTTATATTGTGTTATTGTAGCAACAAACACGTCATGTGACAGTTTGTGTGTGTTACTGAAAGATGTAGGTTTATATTCTAATGAGTCGGCCCGTCAAAACCTCCAAAACAATCATGGTAAGTTCACTCCATTTGTTTCATTATTTTAACACTATTAGGCGAGAATTGTTTTTACTGTCTGCCAATAATGATGATCGTATGTAAAAATAAAATTTTATTTTTGGCCACTTACTAGTGGAAATGGAAGTTTTTCTATATTTTTTATTACGCCCGCCACTGCCTTAAAATCTCCAAATGAGATACTGTATGTATATTTCTTCATAATTATATAAATTAAAAGCATGTAACCATCATATTACTACACTGTTTACATTCACCAGTAAAATTTTATTTTTATTTTCTCCTCTGGGTGTTTTCGCAAAGCTATTTGCAAAATAAAAGGAAAAAAAATATTTTAATTTTTTTCCACCCTCCTGTGACAAACTATAAAAATATAGGTTCAAATATATCTTGCCTTACATAGATGTGTTTCTTATCTACATATTTAATAGTATGGTTGATAAAATTCTAATCTGATCTCTTGTGTTTATATTTGCATATGTATTTTGGTTTATAGAAACAAAATTTAGAGGAAGCAGTAGCTAGGGCAGAGGTATGTCTACTACATTTAAATTAATATTTTTTACTGTTGCGTTATATTTTATGACTATATTGTTTTTTTCAAGAAAGAAAAAATGTTTCTTATGTTTTTCTTCTTCCCCATAATATATTTTGATGTTTTGATACACTTTAGCAAGTTTGTAGATTATGTAAGGGTTTTAAACTCACAGACTTCAAATTATTGTATAGAGTAATTTCAGTTTGTAGTGAAATAAATAAATGAAATTTTTTTTTAAATATAAATAAAAATTTTTTTTTTAACTTGTAGGAAATTATTAATCATGTCCGAAGCAGGCCATCTGCACAGAGGTATACAACCCCATCATCAGCGAAATGGTAATATTACTGCTCATCTATCACATCAAATAAAACAAAATTAATTAGAATATATAAACATACAAAGCCATAGCATTGGGCTAAAAAACTTCTCAGTTACTATCCATAATATAAAATAAATATATAATTTTACAAATACAATGTTTTCTATGTTGATAAAATTCATAGGTTTTTCACATTTTCCACTTGGAGTGGAGTTGAGTAGCTTAGTGGTTAAGATGCTTGCTTTCTAATCCCAGGGTCCTTGGTTCAATGCCTGTCACAGCAGGACTTTTTCTCACAACCAAACACAAACTCCACTCCTAGGCCTTAATAAGAGACTTGGATTATGAAGCATCGATCCATCCTGTAAGGTGTACTTAAAATAAAATTTTAATTGAAATTAGAAAAATATTCTTTTGGATTAAAACAATATGATGATGACAACTGACAGTAAGTTTACTGGTTTTACCCAAAAGAATATTTTCTTAGCTAATTTCTACTCTTTCATGTTTTTACAAAGGAATTATTGCTAAACAATTGAAATTTTAAATGAGAGTTATTGATTATGAACAATGGCCACAATTCTGTTTTTTTTTTCCAATCTAAATCATTGTTCATTCTTGTTTCCCACAATTTAGGAAATCATTACCCCAGAAACTATATGATATGTATATAGAAGAAATCCAGAAAGACCCTGAAAATAAGGTAAGTATGCAGATGAGTTTTTAAATACCTTCTGTTCATTTTCTATTAGAAAACCCATCAGAAAATGGAATTGTCCAAGCACATAAAACTATTTTATTAGCTGTATTGGTAATTGGTTAATTTAATGGTGTATTAGTCCTTGGTTGGAGATGTGCATTTGATTTTGTTTTTTTATCAGGGAAGGTGCACAAGTCATAGGGCCACTGTTTTTGTATTTTACTTAAGCAGTTTGTGTTTAGCATGACATGCTATATATAAATAGATAATGTTTTTCCCAAATATCAACACATTTTTGTTTTGTTCACCTTGTGCATTTATGATTTAATTTTTTTTCTTCAATATTTTAGAAAGTCAGATATGGATGTCATTTACTAGATAAGTTGGCTAACCGGGAGAAGTTGCAATGGCAGTGTTTGATAGTGAATTTATATCCAGGTAACCAGGGTTACAGTTTGATGTTACCTGGCAACAATATAGCAGGTAAATGTGATTATTTTTTATTTAAGTTATTATACTGTCTATATTTAATGTAATATATTTAGTGTTATTTTAATTTTTTTAAATGATATACATCCAATTCATGTTTTTCAAATAATAATTTATTCAAATTAAAATTAATGTAATCATAAGCGATTAGTATTGCTGAGTATTATACACTAGTGTAAATTATTATATGAAGGTTATAACCTAAGTGCACTAATGAAAATCATTGCATGGTTTGGGATAGATATCATTTACAATGTTGACATTATGATGTTGACTTATTATTAGTTTTCTCTATTGATTTATTAATTGATGTATTATTAATAATGGTAAATATTAAATTCTATATTTCAGAATCAGAAACTATAAAGCTTCCATATGCAGTAAGTTGCTGTATTATTGTTAGTTATTATTGGCATATGTGTGTTCTTTTACTGGTATTCATGGGCCCTTTTTAGAAAATATAATATAACATCGTACAATAAATCACCACAAGAAAACAATAAAAAAGTAGACATGAAATATATGAATGAATACAAAAAAATGAATAAATGACAAATTAAAAAAAAAAATACGTAAAATTAGATAATGTTATTAAAAATATAATCTATCCTTTATTTACACACATGAAAAAGGCTTTAACAATGAAAGATTAAATTATATCAAAATGAAGTTCTTCATTTAATCCGTCGGCCAAGGTTAATAACACTAAAGTACTTTTAATCATTGATTTGGTATTGCTATGAAAAAAAATTATTATTATTATTATTATTGCTAAACAAAATGTGACTTTATTTTATTATTCTGCTACAGCCTAACTAATGCTATCTATATTATTATTATTATTATAAATTAAATAATAACTGCATTGAAAATAATTGGTTTTTTTAAATTTACCTTTTAATCTTCTAGGAATCAGAATTTTTAGATTTTATAGACAATGAAGAGGTATGTAAAAATAAAAGTGCTTTTATTTTCTTGTTTCTAAAACGAAAATCTGATGCAATCAACCCAAATTTCAACTACCGAGATACTAAATATATTTATTTGTCAACATGTACAACTTTGTACATTTGATGTTTGGTTTTACGATGCTTACTCAAAACAAAACAATAATGAATATTAATAAAATAAGAAGTGAGTAATCTATTATTTGGTTTTTTTTTTAACAGCTTCCCCCAATTTTAGTTGATTTAATAGAGCAGACACACCCTTTTTTGTTCTACAATGGCTGTGTAATAACAGAAGTTAAAGATTACAGACAGTCCCCGAATGGTCAGTCGTACGCCAGCCGCCATGTTTTACTTAGGCCAACACAACAGGTCAGTGAACTTTATTTTACTAAGACTCAAAAAATATTTTATCAGATGTTTTCTGATAGTGTATAATAGCTCCACACAAATCTGATCAAACAATTTCCCCAGCAAGCAAAGCTCCAGACACAACAGTATTGTAATTATTTTTCTTTTTTTAAATTTTATTAGTCTGTGGTTGCAGATGTTAATGCAATAACTAGTGATGGTCATCTGTGGACAATGGTTAGTGACATATTTATGTATTTACTAATTATATAATGTAAAGAAATATTAAATAACAATATTGTATTATATTAATAATATAATTTGAAATAGATATATTATGATTTAAATGTGTTCTGTTAATATTGTTGTTAGATGTATGCTGTTTTATTATTTAGATAAATCTGGGAGCTTGATACACAAACTAAATAAAGAAATAATTATTTATTAAATACCTACATAATGTGTATTTATATAGGTCTACTATATTAAGCTTGTAGCGTATTTAATACTAATACTGAATTACACTGTATGTATTATGAATAAATCCATTGTGATTACTGTTTGAAATCTTAGATATTTTCATACATATTTTCTGTTTTATTATTACTATAAAATTAATAAAAAATTTATTTTCATATAACATTTTGAAAGAAAATAAAAATATTATGTTCCTAAGCTAGAATTACACTGACAATAAACATAAAATATTCATAAATTTGTATAAAAATTGTTTTTTCAACAGGATGATAAAATTCAACTGGAGTCGCAATTGATTCTTGCTACTCAGAGTCCCTTGTGCCTGGATCCCTCCTTATCCGTATCTTGTGTTGCTAATAAATTACACAATGAAAAGCACCGGTTCAACACAAAGTCTATACGAAGGTAAGAAATTTATAATTAAGATTAATTTCTCTAATCTTTAACATTTTAATATCTACTACAATACTCTTTCAATATTTTGATATGTATCTTAGATTCATTTGTATAATACCCCACATTGTATAAGCACATCCCCTAACTTATTAAACAATTTATGTGAAAAACGCTCAACCTTGGTGGAAACATATCCCTAACTTCAGTAGTTTAAAATGGAAATTCTACAACTTTTGCTGATAACTATGAAAGTACAATAAATAAACCAGTTATGAAATATATTGTATTGAAATTTAGCATCAAAGGCCTAGCCTGTATTACCTAAGCTGTATTTTCTGTGGTGCTCAGGCTAGACCAGTCCAGCATTTTAACTGCAGACCCACTATTATAAAATATAAAATGTATCATTTTTATAATTTGTTTCTCTTTTACCTATGCTCTTTTGTTATTGAAGAATAATCTAATGAAAATCCCTTATCTGTTTTCACCCCTTCTTTTTACTTATTGAATAGGTGTTTAAAAAGATATTCCCAAGTAGCTAAGAATAGGAAGGCTATTCAAAGAAGAATGCCTGCTCCCCCTGAATTACGTCTTCATGATTTTTTGTCAAAGAGGAAGAACAGAAATGCAGTATTAGCTGTCGATCTTAAGATTGGAAAACCAGTAAGTTAAGGTGTCTTTTTCTTTCTTAAAGTATCTGATATATAAATTGAACAATAATTTAGTCTATGTGCCACATGTATTTATATTGTTTTTTTTTTAAACCTAGGGTGTCGATTTATGGCAACAACGACCTTTAGATATCCAGAAGGTAGACTCATTAAATGTAAGTATTTGGACTCTTTTACCCTTTTGTGTTAGTTTTGTTTAATCTTTATTTTTTTAAATAAAATTATGTTGTGTGTGTTTTTCTCTTTCATGTTTGATGTTTGAGGCTGCCAAATTATTATTATTATTATTATTATTATTATTATTATTATTATTATTATTATTATTATTATTATTATGTTACTAAAACCTACCTTAAGGGGAACTTAGACAATGGAGGCATTAGAGAACAATTAAAAAACGACATTAAGGGGAAAATAACACAAAAGATATTCCCCTTAAGTCTAAGTCTTAGCTATTATTATTATTATTATTATAATTATTATTATTGTTATTATTGTTGTTATTGTTATTATTATTGTTACTGTTGTTGTTGTTGTTATTGTTATTATTATTGTTACTGTTGTTGTTGTTGTTGTTATTATTATTATTATTCCTGAATCTAATATTATGATACGCTTTTTGCATCATACTTTACATACTTTAAAAAAATGCTGTCTGCCTTATCATTGTAGGCTTTCACTTTGAGTTTGATATAATTCTTCTGTTACATTTTGTTGATAAAATGCTCACTAATATATTTTAAATGCTATTTGTATTTATATACTATTAATGTTTCCCTGTACTTACTTGCTTCTGATTTTGGGAGTTAGATATAATTTCTTATAATCTGGTGGTGTTGTTTATCAAGATTGTTGTTGTTCTTGTTGTTTTATATAATTATTCTAGTTATTTGTATTATTACTGTTTCTATAGATTCTTGAACTTGCCAGTTGTCCAGATAAACCAAAGATGACTAATGATAATACACCTGTAAGATTGGATTTTAAATAAAATAATATAAAATCATCTCTGTCATCATTGTCATCATCATTAATAATATTTTCATCATCATCATCATTATAATTATGATCATCATCATCATCATCATCACCATACTTATTTTTTATCATCATCTTTATCATAGATACTATTATCAGGTCAATCATCGTCATCATATTATCATCATCAGCATCTTCACTATCACCACCATCATCATTATCATAATCGTCAACATCATCATCATCAAGAGTGCCACTACTATCATTGTCTTATATGGTATTAAAACTTTTGTTTCAGATTACGATTGAAGAAATTATTTTAGAGACCGAGCGAAGCAATGGTAAAATTCACCATGCAAAACTCACAATCCAACAACGACAGTCAGACTCCTGTTATCTCGGAGAACTATACTCTGACAAAGATCACAACTCTCAAGAAGGTCGTAGGTTAGGAGCAACAACTAAGTATGTTTATTTTGTAAATTATTTGTATTGCTTGAATTCGCGGGTTCTCCCGATTTTTTAGGCCGTCTCCCGCCCTCCCGATTTTTATTAATATCTCCCGATCTTTAAAAATATCCCGAAAATTTCACGAAAAATGTGATTTCCACGATGTCATAGAGCAATGAAACAAAAATTCTTATCTTAAGCCAATATACTATGGCGCTCGCTCAGCCATAAAATGTCATAAACAAGGCCAGGGAGTTGTTATTTAAGTTGTTTATCAAAATAACAACTCCAGGGCAAGGCAGGCGTGGTAGAACCGCCTTCCTTGTTTATCCTCCATGTTACGATCTTTTGCATCCAGCGCCGACCTCATTCAATAAGATGGCTGTCAGTTGAGTAAATAAATTTCAACAAATCAACGAAATCAGAAATCACATGGATGGGGCCCAAGTTTTCTCCGCAAAGATTTGGAACAGAATCGGTGCATAAAAAATACTTTTTCTTTCAAGTAAGCTTCAGTTCTCTAATAACAATACTAACAAAATTATAGTTAATCGGTTTTGGTACTAAGCAGTCTTCCGAAAAATGAAGTTTATTTTAATATCGATCCCGAAATACATGTAGGGCTTAGGCCTAGGCTGTATCTGCAGGGTATGTACTGCTGTATGGTGTTGTGTTGTGTGGGCGTCTGTGTGTAGTGGTGGTCGTGACTCTGCGGCCTTAGGGCTAGTTACGCACGTATAGATGGAGCCTAGCGAGGCAGGATTTAATGTCGAGGCAGGATTTAATGTTT